TAAACTCAGCATCACGTCTAGAATTCTCTTCAATGATCTGCTTCAGCCTCCTGTTTTCAATCTCAATTTTGGCATTTTCAGCCTCAAGATCAATAATTCGTCATCTCAATAAATCTAATTCGGATAGGTCTTTAGACTTGTCACTTTGATCTTGCATGTTCGATATTAATTTATATAACTTTATTAGAAATGTTTGGAAAAAGATTTTTACTATCACGTTTTGAAAAATATTTTTTCTTGATAGTTAATGCTTTTAATTTCAAATAAAAAAAATATGTACGCGTGACAATTTGTCACGCCGATCACTTTTACCAAGAAATATTTTTTAAAAATTCTCAAATATAATATAAACATCAATCATATAACAGATAATGTATGCTAAATCGATAAAATCATATGATTAATACGCATGTGGGACGGGCGTCGTCAAGAAAAAAAATTCTTGAACATATGTAGTACACAAAGTTGGAACCCATACAACGAATAAACTCTATAAATACATATACAAAGAAAAATACGACTATGTATGCGAAATTCGACCTCATACTTTTATTTTTTTGATACAAATACTTTACACCGCATACATGCAGACACATGTTAAATATAAAGCACGAAAGGCAAATTATTATTTTTCAGGACAGTATAGACATTAATTTTGAGGTGGTTATACTTTATTTTTCACTTATATATTGCTCTCTGATCATAATTAGACTAATATAAATATCAAATCATGTGTCCTGTTGTTGTGAAGACGTTTCAATAGACAAGCTACATAAATCGTTTCAGCCATCTTTTTTATTATTCATTTTTTCTTTGCACTCTCCGGTGTGGTTTTGACTTCAGATTTATGTACATTTTTATCTCCATTTTATTTTTTAATCGACTTGACTGCCTTTAAGACATCATTCTGTAATAACAAATCAAGTATTATCAGTATCCTATTAGAAGCTTTGTGAGTGATCATCATAGATTTATTATCTGGAAGTTCATGAGAATTGCCATATCTATAGCAAATTGATCCATATCATCAAAACTGTTCGGAAGTTTGATACACGCAAATTCATTATCAAGATATATCGATGGAAGTGGTCATACCATGTATCGTATGCGAATTTCTCCATCTTCAAAAAAAATTATGTAAAAAATATATAACCAAGAGCTTTTTACATGTTGTGATACTCACTCACGCATTGAATTATGTACACACGCGCCTTATCACACGGAACAGTATCGAGTAGTTTGTTTAAGATTCGCATGGCATTATGGCCAAGCTTTACCTTATCATCAACATCTTTGGTATCGGGGGATTTTATACCTCTCGAGAATTTGGCAATTCCTATTATCCGATGGTTTTCTTTTTTTATCTTGAGAACTTTCAAAACACCATCTATCTTCCGGTTCTTTGTAACTGTAGTGAGTATTTCCATCCTAAATCGAATAAAAAAAATTAAAATGTAATATACTATTGGAAATTCATAATCGACACCTACCAATTCCAATCCAGCACATCTTGGTGCATTCTGAAGAGTCTGTTCATGATATATATGGTTGTATCAATTGAATATGTTCTTTCAAGGCTTGATGCATTTGACTCCATTAACTTCACATAAGCAATAACCTAAACAAGAATATGTATGTATATACTATATACAAATGTGTCATTATGTGTTGCGCAATATCATGTCCTTCATGAAGGAAGGGATCAAACCGACCCACAATATAAGACTTTCGCACGAGAGTGGGGATTTGGACTCGATCGCATTTATCTTCTGTGAACTGACTACAATAATCCTTGAACACAGTGGTTTGATCCCAAGCTTGCTTTTCTAGTTTTCGATCAAGCCATGATTTTTGTTCTTTATTCAACTTAGATCGTACACTTTGCTTCACACCAGCATCTGTCATATCTATTATTCCGTTCAAAAAAATCGAATTCATAATCGTCTTGCCTGATTCAAGATCTTTGGATCGGCATTGATAGAGTATTTCAAGCAAAGTATTCCGAATTGACACATTTTCGGAGTTCAGATTCCTCATTTCCTGGAAGATTGGATAGCAATGAATGCATTTGTATACGCGAAATGGAAGAAAGGACAATTTACCTCATGCTCAGTAAAATCGTACCCCTTAACTTCCTGGAAGATCGGATAGCAGTAAATAAAATAGTTATACACAATTGAAGTAAAACTACATTACCTCTTTATCAATGAAATAGTAATTATCTTCTAAAACCGATTCCTCGGCATCATCTAAAACTGATTCCTCGACATCGACTAATACTGTTTGAGGTTTAATTTGTGATTGTTGTCGTGCCCATAATTCCTGTATGGTATTAATTTGATTCAATAATGTGGCTGTTGCATGTTGCTATAC